CATGTGGCCAACGGTTACTTATGTTGTTAGTTAAATTGCTTAACTATAGGCTCTATCGATGGCTTCAATGTCTGTCCGGCTGTGAGGGAGGCAGAATTGTTCTTGCTAAAACCCACACCCCCCTTTGGTAAGCAGGGAGCGTCAGGCTGCTCTGGGAGGTCCTGCTTTCAATCCCTGCACGCTCGGCTTCCACGGGAGTTTTGGCCGAGTACTGCGGAACTACTGAGCTCTTACACACCTGGGGTCCGGGTCTGCCTTCCGCGACACCAGCGTGAAAGGACAGATCCTCCTTTCGTTGTGGTCACTGAGAGCCCGGGCACGGATTTCAGCAGGAGGAAGACGCTGGGCGTTTGGATGCTGACACCACCAGACCCTACACCAGCATAGATCTGGCCCCCATTCTGCAGTGACATGGGCAGACAAACACCTGGGCCTATACAGAGCCCATTGGTTTCAGTGGGGCTTTTTTTGAGGCCTTTAACAGTAATGTCTCTCAGGCAGTGAAAGAGCACGGTTTCCTTTAGCTTGGCTCCAGTGGAATGGTTTCTTACAAGGAAAGTGTAAAAGACACCCTAGTCCTTTCCTAGCTGAAGGATATAGAGGAACTTCCTGATATACACAGGCAGTCTAGAAATAGTCTGTGCCTAGCCCTGGAGCTTCATACCCCAACAACAACTCACTGCAAGAAGGAAGCAAACATTTAAACATTTACCAGCCATAGCCTCAGAATAGGTCTGATGGCTCTATTCTTGAATCTGGGGATGTGAATAGGAGAGATTTCCCTATAGATATTTATTTTAAACCTAACTTCCTCCTCTCTCCCTCAAGCCAGCCCTCCTCTAATTAAACATCAATGTAAAGATTGCTTTCTTGCTAGGTATTTGTGAAATGTTTTTCCTTATACTTCCTAAAAAACAGACTCAAGATATTCGGAAATAATTCTGAGAGCCTGTTTCAGTAATTTCGTTTCCCTCCCCATATGAAAGTAGTTTCCAAACTGGGGGATCCATTACTCAGTTTTAGATATTATCCACTTTAGATTTATGTTAACACCATTGCACCAGTAACTTCACCGAGCTATTATCTTAGACCCCAAATAGTCACAGCATCCAGCTTCACCGTTTTAAATATTTTATTAGTTAAGCAACTAATATTTGTTTTAAATAAGAATTTAAGATTATCCCAAATTTAAACAGTTAAACATGACAATACACCAGCGATGGCCAGCACCTTCTGTTTGTGATAGTTAATGAGAGAATATTTTAACCATAATGCACAAGTTAAATTGAAATAAATGGGGGGGAGAATAACTACTTTTAAGGAAAAAGCACCAATTATATAAATGAAACAAATTTAACTAACAATTACCTAGAAACACGTCCCGTTTCCAAGCAGAAAGTTCACCCTTGTGCAAGACTGACCTCATGCGTGTTTGTTAACTCATTTCGCCAGCAGAGGGCCCCCGACACCCGACGCCGCTCTGCGAGTGACCCCGTAAACTCCGAAGTTTCCCCGAGCACAAACAATTTGGCTAATAAATCTTCCAAAGAATGAGAAAAGGGTAATTGGTGGAGAAAAGGGTTGTTTATGTCATCCTTGATTGCTTTACCATAAAGCCGGGACGTTCTCCTCAAGCCAGAGAGACATTAGGACCTCCCGACCTCTTTGGAGATGTAAGGACCGGGGTCGATTTAAACAGATTGCATAGGGGAGACCACGCTTCTGGAGGATGAAGCTGGGGGGGGTGGGGGGGCGTGTGCCTAATGCCCGAGGGAGACTAGATCCTTGACCGAAAGAGAGAGGGGAATTATTTGAAAGCCCATCGTGAGATCTCCAATGATCCTAGATCATAAAACCTCAGAAATTAACAGAAAAGCGAAAATGCTCGTGGGCCTCTTTACCTGGTAGCAGTTGGAAGCGTCTCTGGTTTTTTCAGCGTCTTGCCAAACAAGGAGACCTCTGGACAGCACTAGCGGTGTCCAAGCTGCACCAACCGCCTCCCTCTAGTCCCCTGGTCCTTCACACCTGTTAGCAAACTAGCTAAAATTAGCCTATTAAGACAAAGTGTAAGAACGAGTCCTATTTACTGCAGGGGACGGGGGGCGCTACCCGTCGCTCTTCCTGCCTAAAATAGAAGTCGCAACCCGCGTTAAAACAATTCGAACGAGGTATCTTTTGACCGAAAAACGCGAATTGGCTGGACGATTTACTAGAACGGAGCTTGTTCGCAGCTGTTGGAAGGGTTCTGGAACTGGGGGGGTGAGAAGTCACGTCCGGAACGCTTCAGGGGCCCCACTCTGCCATCCTTCACTGGATGCACCTGAGGAGGTTCGCTGGCCTTCCTTGCTCAGGTGAGCAGACTTTCGCTACTCGTGTGATTAAATGCGCGCAGAGCCTGCTGCTTTATGGGGGTCCTGGCTGCAAGAGTAGCAGAGGGGGCTTTGGTTATCCCCTAGGAACCTTGGTTTGATGCAGACTCGCACAAAACCACCCCTTTTTTTACCTTGTTCTCAAAACGTGGTAGCCACAGATTTCGCAGCAGGAACGTTTAGATAATAAGATCTGGCCCTTGGGACTTATTCTGGGGGCGGCAGGGGAATTCCAACAAACCACTGACAGATAAGATAGAAAAATCCAACGTCATAAAGCCAAGTTAAAATAAAAGGCTGTCTTTTCTCAGCCAAGATGATTTTCAAAGAGCAACCGTTTACATGGGCAATAAGGGGGGAATCCGATTTTATGTTATGTGTTTCAGAGTAACAGCCGTGTTAGTCTGTATTCGCAAAAAGAAAAGGAGTACTTGTGGCACCTTAGAGACTAACCAATTTAAATTGTGTGTGTTTTAAGCTTTAAAAAAAAAAAAAAACCATGCAGCAAAATGTTGCAACCCTGTCGCTGGAAACTGTATCGGTTGCTGTCGTTTTAAATCAAACTCTGTTTCTTTTCGTTTATATCCCAATAATACAAAACGGATGTTTATATGCATTGCAGCATTTTAATCTTTCCTGGTCGAAATTAAACACAGGCTCGCAGGATTTAGAACAGACTTTCTACACATCCTCTAATTGAAAATAATAACGAACATATAAAAAAAATCCGCCGAACCTAATAAAGTCTCCACGTTTAAGAATCCAAGTCTTCAGACGGTAATTGAACTCTCTCACGTCTTCTCCAGGAGCTGTGGGATCCACGAATCTGGGACAAGTACAGTAAGTTAATAGGCATGCCAGGATTTTCATATGTCGGGACTTAAATGCAACCGGTGCTTCATCGTAGACCTGCAGGGAATCGAGGACTACACAAAACACACACGTTTACCCCATTAGTTCGATTCCTTCTCCTGAGCTAATCATTTACTTAAAAACACACACAAACGCATCTGAAGTCAAAGGTGCAGAGAATGAGGGTGATATAGAATCAACTCCCCTGCCCCCCCCACACCCTTTGGGTTAATTAAAGCAAAATAAAGCCACCTGGCCCTGCAACCAGTTACGCAGATGCTTAGAGTTTAGCAGGTGACTTGTCAGCACTGTTCACGTGCTAAAGTTAAGCTCGTGCCTACCTGCAAGCTCAGTGCAGGGACCTGCCCTACTGTAGTTAACTGAAGGCTCTCACGCTTACTCTTGGTAAGAATGATGCCATCCCAGTTATATTTAGTCCTGACATAAAACCCCCCCAAAAATTGTTCGTGATTTTAATTTCTTAGGGTGATCAGAAGCTCCCCTCAAAAATCGATATGCATGTAGGGCTATTCAAGTTTCGCTGGGGGGTTGGAATTCCCTACTCCCAGAAGTTAGAATAAAGTAAATAACCCCCATCGAATCATTCTGAAATGCAAGGAGAGATGAAAAACGCCAAACTGGCAAAGCTTCTTAGAATATTTTTTATTGAAAGATGTGAGAGAATTCATCAAAAAATGAACAGATAGATACCCGAATAACCAGCACATTTCAAATCCTGTATATTTTTATTTTAAAACAAATATAGCGCACAGTCCATGTGATATTTAAATTTATTATATTTCTTTTTTTTTTTTTTTTGTTCTGGAGTGAAAAATAAAAACCTGAGGTTTATTCCTGCATTTCCTATACCCCGCACTGCAAAGATATTTTCATTACCATTTTGGATTTTTTTTCCTTGAAAGAGTTCCTTAACGAATTGAACTCTGGTTTTAATGACTGAAAAGTATATACTGATGGCACATGATTGTCCTAGAGAACAGGCGGGATAAACAACATTTTAAAACACAGATAAAGAAACCAATATCTCCTTCAATCACAAAGAGCTAAATATTTTTTTCATTTACAATATATATGCTCATGTAAAATGAAAAAAAATTAAATGCGATGAGTTAAACTCTAAATATTATGTACACACCAATGTACAACTGAATAAATTAATACCAATTTGCATATTCTGGGATCCTTACAGCTTATTTACACAAATTTTCATTTATTTCATAAATATTTTTTTCTGGTACACAGGTAGATTCCAAACCTGCCATGTCACACTGCCTGTACCAGCTCTGAGTGTCGGTGGCCTTTGAAATCAGTGGTGGATTCAATAGAGCTGACAACAGTTTATTTCCATTTCCCCCCTGACAAATCCGGTTACACACATGTTCGTAGTCACTTGGCTCGCCCAGAGTTATTATTTTCCTCTTAAAATTGTCTGTTTTAGGTGAGGGGGTGGGGTTGAAAGCATCTTCCACCCTTCAGAAATCAGTCCCTATAGAAAGCACCAGTCACCTTTCCCACAGTCTCTTTAAAGGAATGACTGGTTCATTCTTTCACCATCCCGGAAATCGTGTGTGTTCTGGGTAATCCATTGATCAAGAAAGTTACATGGCCGATTGGAGTCCTTTTGCTTTTCCAGATGTATTTTGAGTCCAAACCAGCGGGACTGAGGAGGGGAGGGAAGGAGACTCTCCGTATTTTCTGAACTGGGTTTAGGGAGGGGAGATCCTATCCATTATATTCTCCTGGGTCTGAGTGGAGAGTGGGGGGGGGGGAGGAATAGTCTCCCATAATTTCTCCTGGCTATGGGATATTTTGCTTGTGGATCATTCACTTGGCCTCTGCTTTGTCTGGGTGTCTGACTTGTATCCCTGTCTTTAACTGCCTGACCCCCTCCCCTTTTTTTCCCTTTTTTTTTTTTTTTATTATTATTATTTAAATAAATATTTATACTGTGCTGTACAAAATCCCAGTGCTTCTCAGCCCTCCAGGCTGGCGTGTTGGCAGCTCAGCCAGTCACTTTGGGGACTCTCTGCCGGGTGACACCTCCCTTTGGCTCTCCAAGCAACTGACCAGTCTCTGAATATTCTGCAGTTCATTGATGGAATCTTTCAGGGAGCTTTTGGGAGAGAGGGAGCCCCTCTGGCTGCTGGATTTGTGCAAAGGAAGCTCTGGGAGGGGGCTGGATTCCCTGCTGCTGCCGGGTTTGGAGCCTTCCGAGCCTGGGTTCAGGCTGGCGGGCAGACCGGTGGTGAGGAGGTTGGTGCTGGGGGGGATGGTGACGGGGATCTGGTATGGGCTGAAGCGCAGGCGAGGGCGGGTGCTGCTCAGGAAGGGATTCCGGGACAGGGAGCTGGCCGCAGCCGCACTGGTCGCTGGCAGGGCTGAGGCGGCGGCCGCAGCTGCAGCCATGTAGGTGTACGGATAAGGGAAGAGTCCGCCAAAGGTGGGCATCGGAATTCCCTGCAAGAGAGAGACAAAGGAGGAGAGGTTGAAGAGCGCCTGGTGGTGGGAACTGGAAACATCGCAAGCTGGGGGGCAGGGGGCAGAATCCCAGGCAGCCAGAAAATCCAGGTGAGCCCCCTGAGACCTTTGAAATCAAGGGATTAGGAGAGAATCTACTGCCAAGGTAAGAGGCCAGGAGAGCAGACTCCAGGTGAAAGGGGTTGGCACCTGCGTCCAGTTCATTGGAAGGAAGGGGGGGGAGCAGGGATGGGGAACCAACCAGTGCCCCACAGAAAGGACAGCAGGCCTGGGACCAGGGCATTTCATCCTTGGGACCCAGGAGGAAGTCGACCTCGCCAAGCTCCTGTGCATCTCTTCAAACACAGAGCCCAGGAGACAGAGGCTTGCTTGTCTGTCAATTGTCTCTGTGCTGGCTGAGCCTCTCTGTCCTCTGGGAGCACAAATGACCTTCCACCAGCAGCGCGAAATCAAGTCAAACTCATTAACAAATGGAATATTTTCCTCCAACACTCTCACCCAACCAGCTCAGCACTTTCCATCCCTCTGGGGCAGGAAAGATGCCACCAATGTGTGCCTCCTCTCTGCTAATAAATATATGCCACCTATCAGATCCTGCACTGCTTCATTCTGAATTTCCCACTGAAACAATACACCCCGTACGGGGCAAAAGAGATTTAAACATCAGGGAGCAGTGAAAGGAACCAACTTGCTGAAACAGACCTGGACACTGAAACAATGCCCTCTTAACTAGGCTGGGACATGCTCAAGGAACAGGTAGTGATGAGGAGAACCTGTTGAATTCTTAAAGGATCTTGTAATAAATGGGGAGAGGAGGAGGATCAGACCTGATAAATAGAAATAAAATTCACCAGCCCATCTGCTCCGCAGCCTGAACCCTCTACCAGAGAAAGGCCTGTTAAAAAGCTAGAGCTGGACCCCACAGTAAGCTTCTGCCTTTACCAGATCTCCACCGGCAGCATGTTCCCTCTCTGCATTCGCCTGTCTCCCAGTCTGTGCATCCTCTCACGAGTTTAATCACATTAAGCCACATAGTAAAGTAGGATCGATAAATTAGATGGTTTAAATCACACCTTGGTGTATTTGGGTTGGGCAAAACACACACGCACAAACTCAGGATGCAACAGAAGAAGCCATTTTGAAACCCTAGTTTTGGCCAATAGAAATAGGCTGGATCTTTCTCCCATTGAAGTCAGTGGGCAGAATCGGGCCCTTTCCACTTTTCAGACATGCTCCTTATGCCCCCCTCTAATGGGGGCCTTGAAGGCAGCTACCACCTATACACCCTCAAGCCCTGATCCTTAGTCTTCAGCAGTGCAAGCCTGCTGGGTTTGACTCAGGATCCCCCCTGTTCAAAGCCTGGGAAAGGCACAGAAGTGGATGGGCACGTGCACCATTCCCCCTTATCTCCTGTTTGCATCAGCAACAAGCAAGCAGCTGGAAAGTAGTAACTACACCGGGTAGGAAAGCTCAGCCCCAGTGCGCCCCTGGAATGGAAGGTCCGTCCTGGCTCCTGCACCTTAGAGGTTTTGACAGGCTCACACTGGAGGAGAAACTGGAGCTAGACTCGTTTAATTCTGTGTCAATTCAATTCCACTGTAAGGGGGGGGTTTCAAAATGGGGTCCCTGTCCGCTGGCTGATTTGTTACCCTTCAGATCTGGCTCCGTCTAAACGGATTAAAGTGTTCCAGTACCAAAGGGAGGATGATAGGAGCAATTATTGGCCGGAGACAAATGTCCCTGATAGAACTCAAGGGACCCTCGGGGGGACCGCTGACGAGCATTGCTCCTGCAGAAGAAAGCAAGTGATAACGCCGCTCTCAGGCGCTCCCTCTCCCCTGTCTCCCGGCTGGATTGATTTATTTTGTTTTCAAAAGTCCCATTCTGGCCAGGAACCGCACAGAATCGCTCTCCGGATAGCAGGATCCGAAATATTACCCTACTTCCATGGGACCCCCGGCCGCATTTCTCCGGACAGCGAAACAGCCCGGAGGTATTTGAAGGGGGAGGGGAGCAAGCAAGCAACCTGGTTTCCGATTCAATCAGCAAAGGGGGTGGGATACTGACGGGTAACAAGCCACCGCTGCCCGGGGAGCCAGGAGGGTGAGGGGTTGGCCTGGGGACAGCGCCGACCTTGCAATGAAAGAGCTGCCCCGCTCCAGCCCTGGTTTTCCATTGCGAGCTGATGCGGCCAGCCCAGAGGTGCTGGGGCTCGGCAAATGAAGCCGTGCCGGCAGAAGGGGCTGCCAGGCTCCAGACCCCTTCCCCCGCCCATTTCTAAGCAGGCGACCCAAAAGATCGCGGGGGGGGGGGAGAGAAGGAAGGGGGGGTTAACTAGTGCAATGAAGAGGGAAATTAAACACGGAGGCAGATGCGGGATAAGGGGGGTGAAATGGGGGGGTAGATACATTCTTGGGAGGGGAGTAAATCGGGGTCGGGTTGAGTAGTGGGGGGGTAAGGAAGGGGGGTACCGCGGCTTGTCCCAGCCCCTTCCCGGGAGCCCCGCTTACCTGAGAGGCCAGCATGTGCTGGGAGAGGTGGAAGGGGAAGGGGGTGGCGGTCCCGGCTGCCCCCTGGGTCGAAGCCAGGGCCCCGTTCTCCAGGCCCCCGCCGGCCACCGAGGCCAGCAAGTGTCCCATGCCCATGGCGGAGAAGGCCCCGGGGGCCATGGCGAACTGCCCCGGGTGGATGAAGAGGGGCTGGCCGGCGCCCAGCGGGTTGAAGAACTGCTGCCCGTGCAGGCCGGAGAGCGCCAGGCTCTGCAGGTGGCCGGGGCTCAGGTGCGGGGGGCTGTCCGTCTGCACCATCAGCGGGGCGAAGGGCTCTCTGCTCAGCCCGCCGCCCTCCGCCTCCTTCTTGGGCGCGTCCGGCTCTTTCCGCCGCCCCTCGGGCTTGTCCTTCTCCGGCCCCTTGGGCTTCTCCGGGCTGGGTCTCTCCCGGCTGCGCTCCTCCGGCAGCCGCGGGCTGCTCCGCGGGCTGGCCTCCTCCGGGCCCGGGCTGGCCCCGCGAGCCGGCCGCTCCTCGGGCAGCTTCTCCAGCTCCGGGTCGCTCTCCGGGCAGGATTTCTCCTCTGCAAGGAAGGGGGCGGGGGGGGGGACTGTGAAACTCGGGCCCATTCCGTGCGCCGGGGGGGGGGGCTCGCACAGCTGGGGGCCAACGGGAATCAACACCCCCCCGGCCTTCTGCCGCCACAAACACCCCCGGTGCGGTGCTGCCCAAACCCCTGCAACCTCCCTTTATCACACACCCCCTCCCAACCTGCCTTCCCCAGCCGGCCTGTCTGGGTGGGTCTATTTAAACTCAGAAATAAACTGGGGAAGGGGGGGGGTTCCTATTAAAATCTCCACCGTTTTGGAAGAAAACTCCTCATTCATTGAAGAAATTCAATCTATTTTTATGTGGGGGGGGGGAGAGGAGAGAATTAGACCTTTATAAACTGGTAATTGTGGGGCACGGGGGATTAGCACCGCTTTGCCAAACAGGAGGAAGGTATTTGCTAAAGGCACCAAAATATAAGACAGCATCCTATCAATTAGCTTCATCCTCACACTGGTCTGCCTAGCTCATGACGGGCTCCGCGGGTTAAAACAAAGCAAAAGCCATTCAGAAAGTAAGGAGTATGTGCAGAATTAGAAATTAATTGATTCATTTATTGCATAGCTAGATTCCGTGTAATTGCACAGTCATGTTTATGGACCCATTAAAAGGCGAGGGGGGTTGTTCGGGTTAAATCACTAGTCACCATGATCAAGATATGTTCTGAAAAAGCACTGATAAAAATACACATCATCGTGTAGAGAAAAAATAGTGAATTGAACCGAATTCACAACAGAATAGACCATGCATACAAGCAAGCATCTCTGTAGCCTGAGGTAGCAAAGATCCCATTTTGGCAGGTAACTTCACATCCAGATTTAAATAATATCGGACTCGTTGTGATTCAGAGAGCAAAAAGTTTGAGGCAGCTTACGTTAAATTCCTTAGTTTAAGGTATATAGTCATTGCCGATTTAATGGATTGAGCTGAAAAGCTCTTAAGAGGGCCAGGTGTGTCATAAGCCCTGGTATTAGGTAAATCATATTTCTGCAATTTCATTAATTTTTGCAAGCCAAAGAGACAGACCTAAAATAGAGGAACCGGATTTTTTAAAAAGCAGCAAAGCCAGGGACAGTGTCTCAGTATCAACCACTGTCGCAGAGAGCTGCTGAGTTTTATTTTCATTTACTAGATGTGAGCCTCCAAGTTCAATCCCGATGTTCTCTCCTCTTAAAATTAGGAATTTTGGGGGGAGGCTGGGGGTTAATTTACCCATTGCAACCACAGTAACCCTCCAGGAAGGAGTTCTGAAAGCCAGTAAGGCTATGTAACATAATGATTACATTTACGCAGCCTGTTGTTTACACAAATTTACAACAGGAAAATGCTAGAAGTTGTAAATAAGCTTTGCATTCCCATTCCCCCCTTTCCAGCTACATTTCTTCAGCTGTAACATTTGGTTCTTTTGTACTGGTCAACCTCTCTGCCTCCTTCTCTTTTTGGTGGTGTACATTCTTCTTCCCACTGGTCTGAACCCCGAATTTGCAATCTGTCCGAAGTGGGACAGAATTCACTCCATGCCTGTTTTTAATCTGTATTTAAAAGTGGCACCTTTGTAATTGCCGAATGAGGAACCAAGACATCCCTGAAATCTGACACCTCAGGAAAGTTACTTAAATTACAATTTTTGAATCTATTCTTTTCTTCCTCCTCTTCCAGTTTGAATTTGACTTACAAATACCTCTAAGTTCTAGTGGGTGGAAAAAAGTAATTTTCCTGTTAACAACCTTGGGGTCTCAGTTACACCTCGGTAAATTCGAAGCCATTCCTAAATCAGATTAGAGTCTGGACCTTTTTGTTCAGAGAAGGCAAGAGAGAAAAATCCCCGCTTTCCTTTTTTAAGAGCTGTCCGAAGAGTCCAGGCTGAGTTCTGGAGTGAACTATTTACCTCGGCCGCTGCGGTTGAGTCTCAGGGGACTAGGGGCTGTACCCAATGGGGAGTGAAGTGTATCCCGCACTGGCGCAGGATCACACGAGGAAGCATCCGATTCACCCCCATCTCGGTCAGGTTTGCACTGCTCCTCATACATCCGCAGGGAGGGGAGAGTGAGCTGTTTCCTTCAAAAAGAAAAGGTCATTACTAAACATTATCTCTGTGGTGCATCCCAACAGATACACTCCTGGTTCCACCTTGTCAGTGGGGACAGGGAAAGGTGGGATCGTTTTACAGCTGTATATAGGCTGAGGTCTTCAATTAATATGACTTTGGGCTAAACTAAATCCCCACTGAAATCTTTCAGGTAACTTTTGCATATCAAAAACAAACGAACGGAAGGAGGAAATATCCAGGTTACCACTAGACTAAAACATTCTAGCTTGGAGAACAATTTTACCTCTTCTCTCGCCTTCCATTCCCAGTGTCTCTGAATCCTTTTGCAAATGGGTTATTATCGATTTTAAGCTGGGTGATCTGAAAACAACAACCACAAACTGCGTAAATTATCCTAGAGACAAGGTTTTATGCAGAAAGGGTTAAAATATTATACACACACACACTTTTGGACTGTGTGGAAAAACATGTACAATTGCCCTTTAAAACGGCAACGATGAGACAAATATTGGTCATTAAAAAGAGATGGGAAATAAAAATCAAGAGCAACCTGGTAGCTGGGTCGGTTGACCTGTGCTCACCTCCACAGTTCAACAGTGCAGAATGTCAGGGTCCCATTGAGGGTCTGTTTCAGACGGTTTGAAACACACCAAGCCCCCGGTTTAACACACCGCATGCGTTATTAAAAATGATGCTGAGGTTTGGCCTGAATTATTAATAGAGTTTTAATGATCGGAAGTTATTTTTCACGGCCCCCTGGAGGGAAGATGGCGACTAAACATTGCTGTGTTGGTTAAAAGCTATTCTTATCTCTTCCAGAGACTAACTTATGGTGCTGGCGACATGAGGGCCCTCAATAATTCATGCTTTTGAAATATGTCCCCGTGATGGTTGCTTTAAAAACGCATGTTTGATCTGCTCCACATCAGTTCTGTAAAAACAAATTGCTTAATCCCCCTTTTACTTCCCAGCTTTCCGGCCAAGCAGGTTTTTATTTTGTGCCAATATGGACAGCAGGCAAGAAGCAGTGCCTAGCTAGCAAGGCAGAGCTAATAGATCTGTCCCTTTCCAGCCCCTAAGTGCCCCTCGCTCTGCTCATCCATCTCCCTTAACCTGCACGGATCAGAAATACCGCCCCAAAGCAGGGTCGAGATGAGTAGCCGGGGACAGCTGGGTATACATCCTCCTAGCTTGCCAGGATGCTACACTGGGTGTGTGTGGGTGTGTTGGTGTGTGGGTGTGAGTGTGTGTGAGTGTGAGTGAGTGTGAGTGAGTGTGTGTGGCAGGACGTTGCACTCGTGCAGGGAGCCCATCATAAAGAACCAGGCTGGAACAAGTGCTGAGTGGCCTGGCTGTAGCTTGCGGCTAGGCTGCAGCCTAAGTGTTCTTTAATCGATTGTGACTCTTTGCCATAAACTTTACGATGGAAACAAGCCCACCAGGACCCTCCGACAGACCTGTCAATTAACATCAGCAGCCAGGAGTGGAGGTGCCGGTCAGCTTTTGGGCAGGGGGGAAAAGAAAACCCTATTGGGAGAGGGTTAGTGGGGGCGCTAAAAAACGGTCAAGTCTGAAGACCAAAACCCAGATAAAGCACCACTGGACTCAAAGATTTCCCTCCCATCTCCAAAGCTTTGCTTGCTGCTCTCCGGCATCCCCCCAGGGGAAAGGCTAAACCTGGTTAATCTGGAAAGATATTGAATTAGCCTGTCTTCTTGGTCATTTCCCTCCGATCCTCAGCAAAAGCTGCCTTTCGAGGGAATTCCCTCCAAACGCTCTTCACCCTTCATCATTTCTATCTCCTGAGTATCTGAGAGCTACCGAGCAAGAAGGTTCCTTCCCCGTGCCAAAGAACCCAAAAGAAAAACCAGGCTCCTGGAGTGGGGGAAAGTGGGGTACTGCCTCCCCATGGGGGGCACCTGTCTGTGAAATCTCTCCCTTCGCTCCCACTCCCCCAGGTACTGCCCCCCGGACTTGTCTGAGCCCAGCCAGCGTGCTTCAGTCGTCTGACTCACACCCCCACTCACAATTAACTCCCTGCTTTGATTTTTATCTCCCTGGCGTTAGCAAACCCGATTTCCAAATAGTTGGACTCTTTAAAACTAACAACCGCAAGCTAAACAGGCTAATATTAGTAGGTGGCAGCCGAACGGGAGACTTATAAGGGCATCGGAGGCCTTGTCCAAATCCCATTGCTCGGATTCCTCCTCGGGGGACCGATCCTGATCCCATCCCGCAGTCAAGGGTTTCAGGGGAAGCAGGATCGGGCCCCTACCTCGGCTCAAAGGTTCATTTGAAGAGCAGCCCCTCTCCCCACCCCTTACCTTGTCGTTCTGGTATGCGGTGACTGCGATGAAGTCTGTTTCAGGGAACACATAGGTCCGGAAGGTGCTGTAGGGAAGCTTCAGGATGTCATTGGCTCGCACGATATGGAACCTGGGCTGGTACTTGTGCATGGAGTTCAGTATGGTCTGCGGGCCAGGGAAAGAGCGAATGGCTGAAATCCGGCCCATTCAAACCAAGCTGCCCCGCGGAATTCCTAGCCGCAGGGAGCGGGATCAACTATTAAGCGGGACTCCCCCATTGCTACCAAAAGGAGGGTTCCCCCCCCCCACCCCCTTCCATAAATCACGTTTTACACTCTGGCCTCTAATGATCAGGTCACTCGGAAGAAGGAGGCTTGTTGCAATCTCTTTGTAAATGCTCTTTAAAAACGCAGGCTGATAAGGAGGCAAAATATCTCTCCCCAGATTATTACAATCCTGAGAATGAAGGGAGAGGCCAGGCGTCATTGCAAATTTCCTAGCAATCTGTATCTATATACAATTATTGCACACCACGCAGAAGCTGGTTATCTGGCTGCAGTTGACTGCCACAGAAAACCATGTTGCCAGCCAGAAAAATATGTTCACGCCCTGATCCAGGTGAATTTTCTGTCTAAGATGAAGCTATTACAGATGAACAAGCATTTGTGCCCCAAACCAGGTGTCTGAAACTGTCGCCAGCCGTCAAATTCTGTATTCCTTATTTTTTAATTGTAGAGCATTTGGGAAGAGTTCTGTACCAGAACCGCAATTTGAAAGAAGAGCATAGTTTACGGTCAAATACATATTTCAATTCGCTTAAATTGCTCTGAAAAAGAACAAAATTGTTGCAAATGCTACATTCCTTCCCCCCCTTTCAAATCAGGCACCTAAAGTGTTTTCTTGCCTGTTCCTGAATTAATCATTCAGTACCCTGATGTGCTCAGGGTTAAATACAATTATTACTGAAGCAAAATTGCTAATGAATGGTGAATTCTTAATTATTGTAAAATGCTATTGCCCAGGCGGCTAAATAATTGTCACTTCGTCTTGCTGCAGAAGACAGTTTAAAAAATCCCAATTTTAACCCCAAAATAGTCACCTGCTGGTGACCTGTCAGATCAGCATTATATTGATGTAATCTAGACGGGATTTATAAAGGAAATGGTGCAAAAATTCCCAATCAGGCGTGTAAATCTGCATTCCTTTTTTTTTTAAAAATCATCCCTTCCATGACCAGATGGCACAGACTAAACCCTGATCTTTCCGATTTAATGCACTCGGGCCTTTTGAGAACAACACACGCCAAAAACATTTAATTGATTATGAGGAACCGTTAAAAATGTTATATCACACTAGCTTTCCTTGAATGATAAAAAGCTAGGGATTATACCCTCTTGCTATTGATTTGCACACTGCATTCTACAAACAGAGCGCAATGTATTATTTAACAGTTCAGGGTTTTTTCCTACCTAGATAAAGTAATCTGAATCCTTATTCATCCCTCACCTGAGAGATTTTTCCTGCCTTATATTGCCCATATTGCCGTTGGTTGCAGCCCCCACCCACCCTTGAGTGGGCGCTGGCTGCCTGTAGCATGGATTGACTGACAAACCAACATCTCCAAATCCCAGTTAATTACCATATCAAAAACACAGGACGATGAACTTTCTCTTTATCGCCCCAAATGCTTGTCCAAAGGCTAAAGACAGCTTGTCTGTTAGCTCTGATTCCCTCCCTCCGCGCCCCCCCCCCTCCACCGGGCCTTAATGGCAGAATAAACATCTCTCTCCCTATTTCAGATCCGCTCTGTGCTGTGGATATTTGCAAATTGCTAAGACACTTCGATTTTTTTTTCAGTAGGCGAGGAAGTTGATCAATAAGAAAATAAATAGGGACGTTTGATAGACTTTAAAAATCCTTCTCTGCAAGGAGACACTGCTTCCTGGAACAACAAAATAAGCTTTCCATACTCCCGGTGAAACTAAGTACAGGTGGGTTACTTCAGCCACCTACCCGCTGAAATATACCAAGATCTCTTTTAACCAAGATCCCCGAGATATTGAATTGTGCAGCTGACACCCAGCCTTGCCCATGTGCCGGCTGGCATCTCCTTCAGCTGCACCTGTAAAGCATGGCTTCTTATTTGGCCACCCCCTCTACCCTGTTGCCCTCAGACACCTCTTACCTTTCATTCAAAGGGAGGCGATTCTGCATCCAAAACCAAACCAAACAACAAACCTTAAGGGTTTATGAGATGACCCTCTATTTTCCTTTATTGCTCCGCCAAAAAGTCAAGTGACCAAAAAGGTCATTCAGGACTTGCCCACTCACACTGAAATCCTCTCCGAGATCACAGTCTCCCCCGACCTCATTTCGGCAACTGTATTTAATCCCAAATCATTTTTACAGATGTAAACACACAAACACACCCCCTCACTTTCTCAGGCGCGCCGTCCCAGTCTCTCCCAGGTTCTGGTGACTAGCCTGCCAAGGAAATTGCCCTGTCGTCCCGCAGTTACAAAAGTTGGAGCAATTATGCACTTCCCTAAGTTTATGCTTATGACACTGCAGGCCATCTCCTAGTTCCCAGTGAGTGAGGACTGGCAGGATCAGGCCCCGGGAAGGAAACTGAGCGGGCATATTTTAAGGGAGGAAAATGAATAGTGAAAGTGCATTCGCAGTCCCCCGCGTGACTCACACAAGAGGCAAACGGCGTAAGGATTTAAACCCACAATGCCATGTTCTTAAGAGTTTTTCCTTGCAAAGCTGATTTACAAAAAAAAAAAAAAAAAAAAAAAGTTTCCCACTTTTTGTTATGGCGCAGAGCCTGTCTCCCCCTGCTCCCCACTGTTTAATGGATTTTACTACACGGTTTTCAATCACTCACCCTGGGATTTAAATAGGGAATATGTCAGGGCCCCCTCCAAATTACAAAACCCATGACATCTATAACATGCAACCACTTAAGTTTACCCTCCACCCCACCTCCGACAGCAGCGGCGGCGGAGTCAGCGTGTGCCTAACACGGCGCGACTCCTTTCCCATTTACACCACGTGGCTGAAATTCGCAATTCAGACCGACTCATGGGGGGTGGGGGGGGGGTGCGCGCACACACACACACAATCGACACAGCGATTAATCTAAATGAAGAGTGATGGAGCCCATGCATTGTAAGGCACGCTATGTGTGTTACGAATTAAAATGTCGTGATAAGCGCTGGGTGATTTACTATTTACAGATGATAAGCGCACATTCAAAGGGCGCTGTCTTGCTGGGGGAAATATGGTGCCTATTTCTAAAAGGGGCAGGTAAAAGTCATGCCACAAGCACCCTGGTTTTCCTCGTTTTTGGTTAACACATGGGTTCTTCTGTGTCTATTTTGAGAGAGTAAATAGGAACCTTGTAAGCGACAACATCTGACGACTAAGTTCCCAGAGTTTTGAGGCTGGTTGGCTTCGTCAAACAACCCCCGGTGATCAATATGTGAAATGTGCCCACCGGAGCGAGGTTTGTTTCCCTTTGCTCCTGGGTGAAGACAGCAGCTGTTTGTTTTAAACAGTCCATGTATGAAGATGCAGTTTGTGTCTCACGCCGGCCTAGTTTTCCATCTGTCCTTCACACCCACAAACACACAACACTTAACAGACAGCTCGCGAGACTTTCCTGGCAATGCAAAAAAAAAAAAAAACAAAACAACAACCCAAACCTTCCTGCACAATCACAGCCCGCACTAAAAATGACACCCCCCTCCCCAGCCCCCTGTCGAGGTGATACTTACAAATCCGTGCTTGTCCGAGATGTTGTTAGTGAGCTTGAGTTTGTGGAAGGCAACAGGCTTTGCCATCCACTGCTCCCCTGTGGCAGGGCTGTCCGGGTGGATGTACATACGCTTGGGCATCTCTGGATCCGCCTTCCCGGCTACCATCCAGCGGGAATTGTGGAATTTATACCGGCAATCATCCGCAGCCACTATATCCATCAATAAAATGTACTTGGCCTTCTTATCCAGGCCGTTCACACGCACTTTAAACGGGGGGAACATTCTCCTAAGGGAATAAAAGACAATAAAAGCAAGAGAATCTTTTCGTGTTAAAAAGAATCCGAAGCACGAGAGAGATTTTGTTACAAAATATGCCAAGGAAAGAAGCAACGTCGGAGACCCATTAATCCGCAGGCTGCGGGCCCTTCATACCCCCAGCCCTGGGTCTCTCCTTGGGTCTGCACCATCGTGTGCCCACTGCTAGGGAAACCTGAAACGTGCATTAGAGCCATGTTGTTACACCGTCAAGCCTCGACCCTGGGCCTCCGCTTTCCAAACGGGTCTAAACGGCAGAAGGGAGTTTTTAAAATAAGCCCACGCCGAACTATCAACCCGGAACCGATCTGTGGTCTCAGAATTACCACGAAAACCGACCCTTCTTGTTGGAGAGGTTAAATCCTGATTCAGGGGCCTGGCATTTGAATGTACAGGTCCGAAATCTACGTCCTGGGCTCTCTCGTGTGTTGCCGTTTTGGACAAAAGTGCACACCCTGGATTTGTCTTTTTTGCTTTCATCTAACCAGCCGCTTCTGCACCGTCAAAGTTTCGCTTCATTCGCCTGACAGAAAACGAGCCAAGAGGTCGAAATCCCGACTTGGATTTCTCAGAAAAGTGGGGCTAGAGGTAAAAATGTATTCTGGGTACAGATTAAAGCCGTTTCCTTCCCCTAAAAAAAACCCCAACCCCAAATATTTCCACGGTGCAAGTTGCTACTGATTTTCGAAAACCAGACCAACGCTGGATTTATAAATATCCTCAATGTAAAATTAAATAGAGCGAATGCAAAGAAAGAGATGAAAGCCAGAGATACCTGCAAGGGGGGGGGGAAGGTGGGCTATTGTAAACCTATTTTAAAAAATGTACGATGGTTATTTTTCAAAAGGGCTGTTAATATTTAAATACAGGTATACGGAAGGGGAAAAATCAACTCTCACTATTGGTCAGTCATGCAGTGAAGAAAGCTTTGGAGATCTACATATACCGAATTGTTTCCATTTTACGAAATTGAACGAGTAAAAGGTACACCAGTTTAATCTGAGGTCAAGGTGTTCAGTTACTACACACACATTTGATGTGGAATCTTGCTTCCTTCTTTTTAAAAAATGAAAGTGGGGGGGAAAAATCCAAACCATCCACTAGCCCTCTATTTCTTATTTGTATTTAATTCACCGCATCAGATTTTCTCAGCAGCAGCTTCCTCCCACCCTCGGGGAAAAACATTGGTAAATAAACAAAAAGAAATGAAGAAAGAAAAATCCCCACTCGGGCTTGCGGGCCCCTTAATCAGTGAAATCGACTCGTCCTGAATGTGCGTTCTTTTAAAAATGATCTAAGTCACAGGTGCAAGGAGGGGGTGGAAGAATAGGGGGGGGATCACTTTTAGTGGCCCTTGTGTAGCGGTGTGTGTGTGTGGGGGGGGGGGGTGTCTTGTTCATACCTTCCTGACTTGGTGATCACCATCTCTGTCCCCAACTTGTGAAACTGGTCCCAAAGCTCCTTGGCTTCCAGAGTCACTTTGGGGTCGTCCTCGACCTCCTCCTCCGGTTCCAGGCTCTTGAGAGAGCGCAGATGGGCTGCCTGGTGGTGATGCCCCAGGGCCGAGACGTGCAGACCAGCTTCCGCGGCTCCAGCCAAAGTCGGGTCCGGGATGGGTTTAGCCAGCGCCGCCGGGGGCAGAGCCAGAGCCGGGAAAAAGGACGGCTGAGCCGCCGCCAGGAAAGCTGACATGGGGAAATCGGCCGGTCTGGGAGCGTGGAACGGGTGATAAGCCATGGCAGTCCCTGTGAAGGCTGGATCTCTCATCGGTGCATCCACAAAGCCAGGAGAAAAGAGGGGGGTCCCGTGCCCTGGTTTTGGCCCAGCGAGCTGCTTCCAAGTCTCTGCAGGAGGAAAAGGCAGAGCTGGGTCCGAGCAGCTCCCCGCGGCAGACGCTCCCCGGCCGCAGTTGGAGACAGTGACAGCTCCTTGTATTTTCTGCTGTTCTCGTTGCAGCGAGGCGAGCGGGCGCTGGGCGCAGGGAAGCCCCTCGCCGGACTGAAATAGAAACAAAAGCCGAACCGCGGCGGTGCCCAGGGTCCACGCGGGGCCTTCAAAGGGCTCCCCACCGCAGCGAGTCTGGGGGCCCACGGCCACCGCGGCACCCCCGGAGAGTCAGACAGGCGGGCGATCCGGCTCCACCTCCGGCCAGGCTGCGCTGGGCGAAAGGACCCGGAGCGGAATGGTTAGATCTTGTCCTGATCTCTGTAAAACTGTGACTCTCTCACATGTCCTTCCTGCGCTGATCCCCTCGCTAATGAGCCAAGCCCCCTTGATTGCTGATTTTACGCGTTTCAGACCAATTGTGGATCTCCATAGGCGTGGTTTTGACAGCTCCGGCCAAGATCTGGGGTAAGGGGGGGGAGGGAAGGGAAGGGAGGGAGGGAGGAAAGGAAGAAAAAAAAGAAGGTGTCGGAAGCACCGGCAGTAAGAAAACATGTCAACAGAATAAAATATTAACCAATGACAGAGAAAAGTGCTCGAAATCCCACCCCCAGCTCCTTTCCGCATACCGGGTCAGCGCTGAATTTGCTGCCGGCGGGGAGCGCTTCGCAGGCGGGGAACTGCTGACAGAAGCACGGGGCAGCCCAGAGAGTCGGGTGGAAACCTCGGGAGAGGAGCGAGCCCACATCAGAAGTGCAAAGCAACACACACTCACACTCACACACACCCGGCTTCGCCTGGGCGGGAGGAGGGAAGGAGTCGCCCAGATTAAAAAGTTCTAGATGTGATGAAAGGGGGGATATTACATGTAAATGTGCCGTAGGCATATACAAGCCGGAGTGTGCCCGTGGGCTTTTTTGTGTGCATACAGAGGGCGGCGTGCGCGTACATCCGTGCATAGTTCGTGTGTGTACGTGACGTGTGTACAACGATAGAGAAATCTCTGCCCCCCCAATACAAGGTTGTGATCAAGTTGTGTTGATTTAACTTGCCTTGCAAAGGGCATGCGGGCTCAGTACTTTAACGTGGCTTTGGGCTGTCTGTTATGTAACAGGCTCACTTCAAAGCCCGGACTCTTCTTTGCAACCCCCTAATTTTATAAGACGTGGAGGGGAGACGGGCGGGCGGGGGGGGGAAACTCTATGACTCCAGCCCTACGCCAGTTACTGGCCACTGAATCTAGGTGGGGCCCACCACCGCCAGCGGTGCTTGCCAATCCATGCAACTGCGAAGCGCGCCTGGACCTTAGCAGACCGCGAAGGGCGTCAGAGCCGGCAGCTGCGGGGCGCGGGGAGGCTTGAACTATTTGGGGGCGACCCGCGCGGCGCATCGCCGTTTTAAATCCCTCCCCGAGGTCCCTGGCACGCCGGAGCTGGACGGGAATGGAGTTCCAGAACCACACGCCAAAAGCCCCGGGGTGAGTGATGGCCAGCCTGGATCACGGCACCGCGTTCATTGCTTCCCCGTTGCGCCGGGGTGGGTGTTTTGCAACTCACTGAGTTCGCTGGGGAAGTGACACGGCGGGGAAAGCGGGCGGCAGAGAGGGAGGCGCCGCTTTGTGCCCGGGGATGGGGCTGATGATGATCCAACTTTGAAGGGGGACCCAGGCAGTCACCTCTCGGTTCTGGGGGAGTCAGCCAGGCGGCGGAGGGGGGGTTCCGTTTTCTCAGTGGGGGGCGATCTCAAAGCACCGCCCGCTGTTTCTCCTAGCGAGGTGGGTGGGGGACATGGCAAAGCCCCCAGCAGGAGAGGTTGGTTTGATAACAGAGGGAATTTAGGGTGTTGCAGAGGGACAATGATACTCTTTTTTTTAAAATTCCGCACCCTCCTGACTGCTGAGGTTTACATATGATTTTAACTAACCCCCTGACAAGTTATTCATCAGCTTTGCACGTTAAAAAGCCCCCCGGTCTGCATGCTTCAAGGCTGGTTCTCCCCTCCCCGGGAAGACTGATCCGCAGGGTTTGTTTACTAGAAGCCTAGATGCAGATAATCTTGAAGGAAAACCCTGGGTCTGTTTGCAAAGGGATTATAGTCGGGCAACCCCCCCCCCCTTCCCCTTGATAGATAGTCTGCTAGAGGGTGTCACCCGGAGGGGTTAAAGGCGCAGGAGCCATTGTTTGGGGGTGGGATGGGGGTGTGCTTGTCCCTTTTAAGAGGTCCATTTGGAGATCTGTTCTGATTAACTGGGGGCTCCGTTTGCTGAAGAGGGGCTTGGCGCCAGGCGGCTGAGACTCCACAATAAAGACCCGTCTCTTGTCACTTCATATTTACCCAAAAATCTTCAAACAGCGCCCTGCAAAATCCTCCCAAGGCTCCTGTCCCAGCCGCCTGGTCGTCGGCCCAGACGCTTCCCTGGGAGATTGGGGACGGGGGGGCGCCCTCCTCCCACCCCAAGGAACTGCCCCAAGCCCCCAATAATCCCGAAGGGCGCAGTGCAAACGCTGGTCCTCGCCCTCCAGAGAGATGCCAATGCCCTTCCCCTCCCCTGCACGCATCAGGCTGGTGAATAGAAGCGTGTGACCCCTAGATGGCCGCCAAGGCAGCCTGTGAGTGCCCCTGCGCGGGGAGAGCCCGGAGGGGGAGCGAGATGCCGCCGAGCTCGGGGCGGCTCCAGGCTCCAGCTTTTTACGCCGCTCCTCCGCGGCGCGCAACAACGAGCAGGCCGGCTGGAGGGGAGCTGCCTCCCGCCGCGGCAATCTGGGGTCGCGGCAGACTGGAGGGGAGGGATGGGTCCGTCTCACTCGCCTTGTGCGCCGGGAAACAGATCTCGCCCTCCGGGGCAAGGGCTGGCCCCGCTGGCCTTAAGGCGCGGTGCGTATAATGAACCCCCAGGGTACCGGGCACCAGCCCGTGCACACGGGTCATGCCTCGCTCTGCATCATTCAGACACCCCCGGCTGCAACCTCTGGCCCGCGGCGAACCTGGGCCCGGCTCGTCGGCAGTTTCGCTGCCCTGTCTGCCCCCGGTGTGGCGCTTTGATCCTGTCACTTCCCTGGACGCTTGTGCGGCTTTTCCCTCCTTCCTTCAGGGGTGGGGGCGAGTTCGTTGCTGGGGTTTTGACCATGGTCTGTTCTCCCTTAGGCCAGCCAGGTGAGGACACAGGCGAGGGGCTGATGGCGAGCTGGAGCAGCAGGACCCTAAAGCCAAACCAGGGTCAGCTCCCCCGTTTGTTGGTACATTTCGCTGGGTTGCTGAGGGCAGCCCCTGGCGCCGCTGGCGAAACCGAATCAAAGCCTAACACTTGTTCCCCAGGACACTTCACAACCTGCGGGAAGGTTGATGGGCTAGGATAAGAACCCAGCCTGGCCCACACCGGCGTCTTCCGGCTGGTAGCCCGGGAGCCCCTTACAAAATCCAGACCCACAGTCTGGATCTTGCGACCAGCTGCTGGGGCCCAGAATGCGCTGGAGTAGGGAGAAGGGAGTGCGCAGAGCGGACGGGGATTCGGGAGACCATTTAACTCCCCAGAGCACAGGAGATTGTTACAAGCTGCAGGGGAAGGTGTCAGCATGGGGGGGGAGGGGGTCAGGATGTGTTGAAATTTAGACACAATTTGGACTTTGGATTTTCGCCTCCGCGGCAATGTGCTGACGGCAGCGGCAGTCGAATCCAAACAAAACGGGGCTTTTGCCGCAACGCAAAATCGGTGCCTTTTAATCCGGGGGAATTGCAACCACCCCCTCCCTGGACGGGCAGCGCTGGTGCTGAAAGTCCTGGCGACTTTCAGATCTTGTCTGAAGGAGGAAAAATGCAAACTTAAAATCTGGCTGATAATAAAGGCAGCTGTTGTGAATTAATGCCGACCCCTTTAAAAAGCAGCTACCGTGCAATAAATAAATCATCTAAATCATCCTCTTACTTCATATCTGAAAAATCCTACAGAGGATTGTTTGGGGGAGACATAAATATGTGTACTTCTCTGCTGCCTGAAAGAGTCCAGGGGGGTTGCATGCCGCAGTTAAGAGGACGCTGTGACTGTAAAAGTGCTTCGCCTAAAACAGAAACGAAAGGCCAGTCGTCTCCCTGAAATTCGGCGTGACAATCATATTTCGGACTGGGTGTACCGAGGACATTCACTCGAGGAAATCCAGGATCCTTTTTCACAGGATACCGAGTGTCCTGGCCTGGTGAAGCCTAGGCTGATACAACCGCACATGCAACCTGCAACAAGTCAGTCTCAGCTCGAGAAAAAAATCGCAGCTCCCCTGATAGCACCCAGAACAATTTACTCCATAGTTTTCATTACCTCTAATGGGGGCAAAAAAGTGCTCCAAAAATCTGTTTGCATCCACACGTCTACTGAGTGTTCCAGAGAGCAGGCTGCTCCGGTTCGCTGCAGTCTCCTAATTCGTTTGAACAGGATCAAGAATAAATAATAAGAATTAATATCTCCTCCTCCGCCCACCCCAAAACCACCACCAGATCCAAGCCGCTATGTTAGATAATAACAGACTAGCAACAAGGCAAAGCAAGAGGTGGATTGTGCCAAAAGAGACTCAGATCTTTTGATCAAAATTTGATCAAAAATACCTTTCTCCTTATTCACCTAGTCAGCCGTAATTAACAATCACCATATTCATTAAATATGTTAACACGCCCTTCCTCCTTAAGACCCAGAGTTACTTACTCTCTTTTTATTGCTACAAAAATTCGATTGCATGACTGACTTTGTTAGCTGCTAAAATCCCACACACAAGAGGGGGGCTTTATATTCCTTCTTTGGTGGATCTCCTACAAAGTGCAGGGCTACCTATGCAGAGGAGAGAGCAGGAGGAATTGCTGATCTTGCTAAATGTAAACCGCGGGTGAAAAACTCTTCTAAAATAATTTGTAAAAAATCAGCGTAAATAAAAAGGACGGAGGCAATGCAAATGCGTACCCCAAAGACAGTGGAATTACTGAGGCGTGTGTTTCAATGGTAGCCGTGTTAGTGTGTGTGTGTTGCGGGGTGTGTGTGTGAGGCACTTGAGATCCCCTTTACAAAGTAATTACAAAAAAAATCCCTCCCCCTTGTGATTGTGTGAGATTTTTGGCCTACTTGATTTTATATTAATTACAGCCTTCTACAAGTAATGACGGCCTTCTACGAGAGAGGCTGGGTGGTTAAAGTGTAAATGGACGAGTCCTTTATCTTACCTAAGACAACTCCGGGGGACTGGGGCAATGGGGTTAATGGAGCACTGTATGGGGGTTCAATGGGGTCTGTATACAAGTAGGGCTGGGCTTGTATCACGCTGGACGCAGTTCAGTCTCAAGCCAGGGGAAAGATTTGGATTCTCTCTGCTCCACAAATACGCAAGAACACGCTTCATTTTGGCCTCTGCGTTTTGATCTAATAATTTCTCTGCCATTTCCTTCTCCTGTAACCTTCTGGGACTCGCTATCTTTTTTAATGCTGACTTATCTTATATAAATAGAGACGATTTCCTAACAATAACCCCTATCCTCGAGGTGAAACAGTGGTGGTGGGGGGGAATCAGGAGGGGAACAGGGCCACTTACGGTTGTTTACAAGGCATGGGTTTCTTTGCACGTCTTCTGTTTGTAGTCCCCCCTCTCCCTCTTAGCCTTGGGCTTTACCATCAGGATTGCAGATCGGGGAGCTAAAACCTGACACTTGAGGAAACATGAAACAGATTCCCAGCATTAAGGGAGGCGTCCCTTAGATCACCAACCACTGCAGGTTCATTTCAAAGAGGAGAAGCCGGGGAGGAAGAGGAGAAAGAATAGGTCATTACAGTGTATTACGGCTATTCAATATAAAACAATATGTTGAGCTTACATACAGTGCTTGCAAAACCTCTGCCAGTCTTTTAAGGAGATGCCTCGCCGGTGCCCTCGGTTAGCCTGGACAAAGCCCGCCCCCCAGAAGTTTAAGCAAACATCTAAACTTTCAACCGAATTTCCCATTCCATTTTCCCTCTGCCCCTCTTTCATCTTTGCCCATCTCCACTCCTCGCTCCCCTTTCTATTTTTAGCTTGTAGACTTAGGCCTTGGCGCCAGGCCGTTTAAGACCTGTCAAAGTCCTTCATATTTCCCTCATGTCACATGGACCTTTCGCTCTCTCCCCTCGTCATGCAAAGCCGGTCGTTTGGATCTGGGAGTTCGGGAGCGAACGCAATTTGCTCTTCTCCACGGCTGTGTTGTCTCCGTGACCTCAGCCAGCAGGGCTGCTGGTGTCCTGTCCTGTGCACTTAGACAAATTGCGAGTGATTGATGAAAAATAACAATTCTCGCAAGCAGCAAGTCCCCCTCGCCCCTGCCCTCCTCCCAGCCGCAGCCCGGGCTCGCCAGGAAATGAATGGAGAGCTCACATGTAGCAAACCAGGCGCCCTGAGCTCGGGGCACAACGCAGAGGAACGCCACAGGTTGAAACAAACAAACAGTGTAGACAGAGGTGGGTCCTGTCATTCA